GATAAGTGCAGGGTCCTACACTTAGGACGGAAGAACCCAATGCACAGCTACAGAGTAGGGACCGAATGGCTAGGCAGCAGTTCTGCGGAAAAGGACCTAGGGGTGACAGTGGACGAGAAGCTGGATATGAGTCAGCAGTGTGCCCTTGTTGCCAAGAAGGCCAATGGCATTTTGGGATGTATAAGTAGGGGCATAGCGAGCAGATCGAGGGACGTGATCGTTCCCCTCTATTCGACATTGGTGAGGCCTCATCTGGAGTACTGTGTCCAGTTTTGGGCCCCACACTACAAGAAGGATGTGGATAAATTGGAGAGAGTCCAGCGAAGGGCAACAAAAATGATTAGGGGTCTGGAACACATGAGTTATGAGGAGAGGCTGAGGGAGCTGGGATTGTTTAGCCTGCAGAAGAGAAGAATGAGGGGGGATTTGATAGCTGCTTTCAACTACCTGAAAGGGGGTTCCAAAGAGGATGGCTCTAGACTGTTCTCAATGGTAGCAGATGACAGAACGAGGAGTAATGGTCTCAAGTTGCAGTGGGGGAGGTTTAGATTGGATATTAGGAAAAACTTTTTCACTATGAGGGTGGTGAAACACTGGAATGCGTTACCTAGGGAGGTGGTAGAATCTCCTTCCTTAGAGGTTTTTAAGGTCAGGCTTGACAAAGCCCTGGCTGGGATGATTTAACTGGGAATTGGTCCTGCTTCGAGCAGGGGGTTGGACTAGATGACCTTCTGGGGTCCCTTCCAACCCTGATATTCTATGATTCTATGAATAGCACTGCAGGTATTCCTGTTATTACCATCGGCGCCTTCCTCATGGGCTGCAAAAGCAGTCTGAGAAAGAAGGACACTAACAGTTGCATTCCCTGAGATGCTAAAAAGTATCAATATTGTGACCTTTGGCAGCCCATTTATATTATGGGGGATGGGGGGCTTCTTAGGTTCCTTCAAAGAAGAAATAAAATATAATGCAACCCACTCCACTGAGTTAGGGCAGGAGCAGTGTCCCAGAGATAGCAGATGAAGAAGGGCCATGGAGGACCTGCTCATTGGCATTGAAAGACGGAGCAGGAGCTGTTTGAGCTCTTTAGAGTGAGGGAGAATTGGGCCTTTAGGCAGGATGAGGCACTGATGAACCGGTTCCTGGATCTGGAGTCACACCACAGTGAACAGGAATATGCCCAGAGAGAACTGGATTGTGAACTCACGCAGCTGCTAGAACAACTGGTGGCAGAACACTTTCAGGGCCTGCCTGCCTCTGTGGCCACTGCTTCTCCCCAGGAGCAGACACCAACGCCTCTGCCCACTCCTCCTCCAGCTGCCAAGCAGGCTGCGCCTGATGTGGTGGATCCACCCCACCGTCCTCTCCTGGTGATGGGGAAGAGCATGTTGGACACCTGTCACAACATCCTCCACTGGCACCTGAAACCCCTTGCAAGGGGAATCCCCCAGAGCATGCAGGAGTGGAACGATCCAATGACTGGATCCCAGCCGACGTTCAGTCCCCAAACTCCACCTAGGAGTCATCGTTGTTTGCCCCCTTGCATAATATTCTGCATCTGTTTTCCCCCTCTTTCTGAGGGTGAGGGGAAGTGGAAGGACAAGGAGATGGGGCCACAGACAGTAATGTTCGGGAATCTGATCTTTTTGTTGTTGTTCATTTGTAGTGCCTGTTAATGTTGTAGTTCTGTGTTCCATGTATCTCTTTAAATAAAAATTTCCGTTCACTTCACTTGTGTGTTCACCTTGCTTTCCGAGTATGGTCAATGGGATATTTCACACACGTTTGGGATGGGTCAGTGGGACTCTCAGTCACGTCCTGTGAGTTCTGTAACTCTGGTGCCACAGAAATGCAATTCATTCTCCATCTCTTGCCCCTAGCCTTTTTTTTTTTTTTTTTTTAAGAAAAGCAGGGTTCATGACTGTGAACTAAGCTGTGAAATAACTGTTGCTGTCCAAAGCACCAGAATGAAAAATAGAAGAGAAGTTAACTGAGATGTCTTTATGCTTTTGTTAATAACTTGGGCAACAATACAGACAGAAGAAACCAAACTAAATTAACATTGAAGATATCTCACACTGAGCTGTGCTTTTATGACTCATGCTGCCTCACCCCCAAACAATCACCACTTGCAACCAGGGGTGTACTCATTCATAACAGTGAAGTACTGTGAGCTCCCGTTTCAGAAAACATTGTGAAGAAGGAATGTGTGAAGCCTTCCACCCAAAACCTTACACAACTTTAAGAATGATTTAGTTGTTCTCCATAAAGCAGTTTCTTGGTCAGCCATCTTTGGTGTTTCAAATAGTTTTGGACCCATTCCATCCAATAACTGGTACTGCACTGCACAAACATTTGTCCTGCCAGCAGGTGCAGAACCGCATTGTCATATACTTGCTCCATGCCTTCCATGCAGTTTGGCAGAGGTGAGAAGGAGCTGCCATTGCCAAAAGTGTGAAGGTGCCATACAGTACCAGCAACACACAGCAAGGCGGTTCCCAGAATGTCTCCTGTGATGTACAAGACTCTGGGTTACAAATCCTGAAGTTTACCAAAAGGGATGTCTGGATGTGGGTATATACCCGTCACAGCATATACCCTGGCCAAGCACAGCATATGTGGACACTCAGTGCGGGTACAGGGTACATGTGACAGCGGTACATGGACAAGTACCTGGGGACAAGTGGAAGTGCAGACATAGCCTTAGAGTCTCTTAATAGATATTGATCAGGTGTGTGGTTAGGGCAGATTGGACAGAAATCTTACTACACCAGGCAAGGAGGAGGAGAAACTGTGGGGGTGCACCCCTTATCCAAACCAGAGAGAGGAGGGGGAGCTCCCCTCTGTGTTCAGCAGAGGAGTGGGACCCTTTCCTCCCTGCATTCCCTTGCCTTAATCCCTGGCAAAATGGAAGGACAGAATTTGGCCCTGAAGGAATCTGTAGATTAGTACCTTTGGAGAAGAGCAGGTGCCCCCGTGCTTTGGGACCTGTTCAGGTGAAACCTTATGAGTTTCCGGCATGGCTCTCTCCACAGTGGTAGTCTTCCGTGAGTGGATCAGTAGCACTTAATCATGTGTCAAAGGCAGCCAGTAGGTCTGTACTCTGACAGTGAGTTCAAGCTGTAGGAAACCTAGAATCCTGAAAGCAGTTAAATGCTGCTGGAATTTCCCTCCTGCTGCCTTCTCAGTTCCCTTACCGAATAAAGGAAAGCTAGAAACTAGCAGTAAGTGCCAGATTGTGTGCTGAGTGGTCATTTTTTGATGATACGTTGGATTTTGACCATTTTTAAGGATTCTTCACTCTTGCCAAGAAAGCATTGATCCCAAGAACTTAAGAATGATCCTAGTCACACTCCAGAAGTTTCCATTTGCCAGAAGAGGTGTGGGTCTACATCAGTGGTTTTCAAACTTCGTGAGCTGAGCCCTCCCCTTTGAGTTACAATTTTTTAGTTGTGTTCCCTCCGGGGGCTGCTGGCCAGGGCTCCTGTTGTCAGCTGGGGGTGGAGGGTGTACCAGTGTCCCACAGTTTGAAAATCTCTGGTATATATTCTGTGTGGTTGCACAGACTTCCATCAGTCCCCCGTTTTGAGGGCTTGTTCTGAACCTGGAGGAAGGTAACCCAATGGTATCTTCAGAATTGGCTTTTGTTAAGCTGTATCCGAAGTAACCTCTCCAGTCTGTTCCTTCTGTTAAATAGGACAAGAACTTCATATGTTGGGTAATGTTTGAGTCTGGAGCTGTAGTATGGGCTAGAAGTCAAAAATGTTTGTATATCCAAGAGCAAAATTTAACCCTTTATGTTAAACAGCAAGATGAGTTTGTGTACTTGCAACAATGTAAACACAGTGATACACTGAATTTTATTTCTGTATTTGCACTGTACTCTAACTAGAAATTGGATACAACATATGATCATAGAATGGGTTTTTATTGCCTAATACGTAGCTTTAAATTATTACCTTTTTTTAATTGGAAATATGTGCTGTGTGAACTGAGTGTTCTGGGCTCTTTTGAGCAAGAATTGCAGGTGGGGTCAGGAGGAAGAAGGCAAAGAAGCAGTCTGAATTTGATTTTTGACCCAAATATGGACAGCTGCCATTTAAAGACATATTTTGTGTATGATATCTGCATTTTACTTTATACATTTCAAAGGTGCAATATGAAAAATAAACTTGTCCATGCTACATACATTTACCAGACCCCCAGGGGGCCGGGGGGGGGAACCAACCCTCACAACTTTTTTCCATGTTGCTTCACATTCCTCTTACCCATTTCAATCTGCTGGATTTACAATTTGTAATTATAGCTTTTATTTAGAGCAAGTTCTGGTGGTAAATACAAGGAGGTTGCTGCATTGAAAGGAATAGGTAATTCTGATCAGATTCTGATCTGATTCTGATCAGATAGAATTCTTATATGAAAGAAATTGCTTATGGAAAGAAAGATCCATTGTGTATATAACTTTAAAAGTTTGAAGGGTGTTACATCTATATACAGTACTCTACCATTCATTGCATAAACATATTTTAAGTCTGCCACATATAGAACTATATATAATCTTGTTTGATAGAATTTGTACCTAAACAATGCAAGTCGTTTTGATCCTTTGTGTTATAGTGGGGTTTAGGCAGAACATCCCTTTTTTGTTCATTCTCATAAGGGTTTTATGTATCTTAGTCCATTTTAAGTGACTGGTTTTGGATTATCAAAACCAACCAAACAAACCCACAACCCCGTATAATGAAGTTCAAGAGCCTTAGCAGGTCTCTTAGTTCAAGTTCAAGAGGTCTCTTAGCAGGTCTCTTAGTTCAAGTTCAAGAGCCTTAGCAGGTCTCTCTCACACTAGGATTTTAAGACTGTGATCTGAAAAGGATCCATGGCCACTTTCTTGCATCGAGTGCATTGGCTTTACTAGCCAGTGACAGCAGTCAGAGATGTGGTCATGTGCAGTTTCTACTTAGCTACAAATATTTTATTTATTGATATTGTGTTTTTTTTAGGAAAGTGAAGAAAGGTTCTTTGTTAATAGACTCCAGTACTATTGACCCTGCCGTTTCAAAAGAATTAGCTAAAGCAGTTGAAAAAATGGGAGCTGTTTTCATGGATGCCCCTGTTTCTGGTGGTAAGTCTCTTTGCTAAATATATAATCCTGTATGTTGTAGAAGACATTTCTTTATGGGTGCATCCTACCTCCTCCCTTGCCTCCCCCCTCCCTTCTTGTTATTGCTATGAGCAACTCTTTGTGCTATATCCTGGCACAGTTGCTACCCCTTTTTGTTAATGTTTTCTTTCCCCCTCCTATCCTTTATTTGTCCGCTTGTATAGATGTATTTTTCTTGGTTTTGTTAATTATTTTTAATGCTCTTGGGCTGCATTGGCACACACAGTTGATTCAGGGTGTGGTGTTTGGCCCTCTCTAAAGGCTGGGTGGGGCATGTTACTTGTTGTGCTCTCTTGGCTGAAAGGAGTGCTGCAGCAACAGAGAAAGGTAGCTTGGGCTTGTAGGCTTCTGCCTGATCTTGCAGCCTGGTACTTTTCCGGTGTTTCCACAGCCAGCTGCATTAGAGTCTCCTGCAAGAGTAGGGAGGGAAGGCTGATGGCCTTCAAGAAGCTGCCTGTGACTTTACCTAAAGCATTAGCTGCACGCTTTGCTGCAGTGGTTGTAGGCTGGATCTGAACTCACGGAGCCTTCTCTCAGCACTATGGTCGTTTCTTTTGTCCCAAGTTTGCTTACTAGTAGTGCCGTCCTAGGAAACTATCTGCACACACCCCTCCTAAAAAAAACAAAAACAACCACCACCAACTTCCTGTTTGGGAAAAGTTAGCTAAAGTTTAGGAAAAAGAAAAGGAGTACTTGTGGCACCTTAGAGACTAACCAATTTATTTGAGCATGAGCTTTCGTGAGCTACAGCTCACTTCATCGGATCCGATGAAGTGAGCTGTAGCTCACAAAAGCTCATGCTCAAATAAATTGGTTAGTCTCTAAGGTGCCACAAGTACTCCTTTTCTTTTTACGAATACAGACTAACACGGCTGTTACTCTGAAACCTAAAGTTTAGGGCGTCAGTCAAATGATTTAAAAATAAAAAGACAGGACAGTTTTTAAAAATGATTTTTCAAATGTTTATGTAGAACATACTAAATCCCAATATCCCATAATGGCTTACAGTGAAATGTAGCAAACTTTCTCTTTTCTCTGGTTTGAAAATGATTGGAATGTGTGTATGTAATATTTGTATACTCTTGAAGTTGGAGACTGATACCCTAGACATTAGTATTGCCTCTGTCAGGAGATACTTTTTAAAAATATGCCAGTCTTTCCCCTTTTCTTGGGTAAAATTAGATGTTAAAAAAAAAACACACTAACGTATCATTATTAAAGCCTAAGTCTACATTTTTTACAACCTGCAACATAGCAAAGGCTGTCTTGAAATCTAAAACAAAAAATACCAGATAGTTTTATTGAACTATTTGGGACAATCATTCTTGGCCATCCAGAGTTTAATTGCAGTTCTACTCTAAAAATAACTGTGTAAATGGCATTGTGTGGTTTCATATTTATTATCTTTTACTGACTTCAGATAAAACTTTCTCAGTTTACAAGTAAAAAGATGTTCCTTCTCCCCTTTCCTCCCCCTCACCTCTCCAAGCTGGCAGTCTTGCAAACTGGCTCTTGGAGCTGAAGTTCAAACTGGGTTCTTCTAGTTTGTGTATAATCACGATGATAGAGTCTGCAAGGCCAAATTCTGCTTCTACTCTGTGCAGCTTCATTCCCTTCAAGATCTAACTGAGGCTGAATTTGGCCATGCAATTGGAATTTGGGGGCCAACATTTTTCTCTGCCTCTATGAACAGAGGGTGGAAAAACTCAGAAGATATCAGCTGACAGGATGTGGAAGGAAGGGTTCTTACTCCACAGCCAAAATATGTTTCTGATTTGTAAAATTAGATGAATTGTTAGCCTGGGAATAGATATCCCACTCTATCACTTTTTTTTTTTCTGTTTTTTGCATAATTTTTTTCTAAACATAGCAGTGGTTCTCAACCTATTTACCATTGTGGGCTGTATATGCAGTTCTCTGTGTGATGTGGGCCATATCCACGCAATATATATACTACCTGTCTGGCCCTGAGGATGTCACATGGGCCGTAGCTGTGTGCTGGTTGGGCTGCAAGCAGATTGAGAACCACTGAAACATAGTCTGTCATATTTATCTGTTTGGCAGCATTGAGACCTTTTATGTGGTTCCCTTTGTGACACCACTCCAAATATAATTTCACAAATTGTTTGGCTGCTAGGATTGGTTATCTTAAAGTGTTCCCTGTTCTCTTTCTACCCAGAACTCACTGAGGTCATTTATTTTAAAACATTCCATCCAAACTATTGTATTGGCTGCTTTTTGTTGCTTGGGAATATAAAATGGAGATCTGGTTAAAGCAATAACAGATAAAGTTTTATCTGAATAAAAATTCTTTCACTTAGTTTGTGATGCCAATAAAATACAAAATATCATGAGCAACTTAGCATTTTTTGGGGAAGGGAAATCAATATTTAGCTTTCTAGTAGATAAAGATAACATTAACTGTACAAGATATAACTTGGAACTAAACCAAATGAAAATGGACAATTGCAGGGTATGTTCTATGTTAAGTGCCGCATTAGAAGAATTAAAAAGATAAAGAATTCAGTAATAAAACATAACATTAAGCAGTAAGTCATAAAAGGATCTTTTGGAGGAATTACTGTATATCTTGATTACATTATTTAATATTGGTCTAATGACCAGCAGAAGTACAGTACTTCCTCGAGAATCTACAGGCCTTGTGTTGTTTTGAAATGCAGTGATGTGGGGGTTGGGGATGGCAGGCAAGGGACAAGAACAATCATCCTTGTACCTGTATATTTACAGTGCGTTATTGACAGATGGTTCCACTTGTGCCCAGGGTTATGCTGTTTCCTAATGGAAGTTAATATTTGTCTGTTTGTGAAAGCATATGTTTATGTTCCAAATAATCTTTTTGGAAATCATTTGGGCTGTAGAGCTCATGGAGAAAATGCTGGCCTTGAGTATATGAAGTTGGTGGTTCCAAATGAAATGAATACATATGACCTCCAGTTTGCAACATTAATTTGACAGTTTATTTGCATTTTGTACTCTCTCTTATAAGGCTTATTTCAGGATAGACCTAGAATTCCATGGAGTAGTTACACACTTTCTTGGCTGGTGAGAAACTGGCATGTTGTACCCCAGTAATACGCAGACCTCAGGAGCCACATTAGCGATCAACATTACCCAAAAGAGCCCCAGTAGTGTGAATTCATTGTTTCATTTACTATAGTACTGTATATTGTAGTTGATAAAATAATAATTGGGCAGTCAGTGAGAATGGTGTGTGTGTGTGTGTGTGTGTTTGTATATATATTTTGAGAGAGAGAATATGAATTTATATGTACTATTTTCACAGCAAAATGAATGACCAAATATTTTATAAACTACAAGTGGTTAATGACCTAGTAAAAGCATCCTTGCTGGTTAATAACGTAGACTGGTTTAATGATTAAACCACACAGTGTTTTAATATCATGTGCTGCAAAGAGCCGCAGGAGACACATTAGAGAGCAAATTGCAGCTTGCGAGCCTCAGTCTGAGTATCCCTGTTATACACACTTGTAGCCTAGATTCAGGAGTTTCTAATTGGAAATTAATACACAAACCCATTACAGTGTTGTATGTATTAATTTTGGAAAATACTTCTCATCCCCACTGTTGCCTGCAGATTTAATTATTAATACTGTCTAGAGATGGCAATTGCTTTACATTGGGGATTAGGATCATTGGCAGGTCTATGTGAGAAAGTTTGTATCATCCTTGCCAGCACGGTATTGATGTGAATAAAAACAGGAGATGAGTTCTATTGCTTGCTCTTCAGTAATATAAATATTCCATGCCTAATGAGGATGCAATGAGAAAACCAATAAATGTCTATTACAAATAGACTAATAATAAATTGATCCTTTTTTTCGGTTGGGCAGTTTTGGTTTGGCAACTTTACAACAGCCTCCTATAAATACAAATTATCATACAAAGAAGAAATCAGTGGAGCTTTGTGCAGGGTAGGATATTTCATCATGAGTCAGGGTGTCAAAATCTAGTCCTTAACAACATGACGACTTCATTGACTTCAGTGGAGGCAAGATACAGCCTTGAGGTGTAATACTGATTTAACTCTAAGTGGATATTGTACCACATGAAGCTCTGTTCTACACTACAGGTTTAGGTCGAATTTAGCCACGTTAGGTCGATTTTAAAACGAATGCGTCTACACAACCAACCCCATTCTGTTGATCTAAAGGGCTCTTAAAATCTACTTCTGTATTCCTCCCCAGGGAGAGGACTAGCGCTAAAATCGACCTTGCTGGGTCGAATTTGGGATAGTGCAGATGCAATTCAATGGTATTGGCCTCCAGGAGCTATCCCACAGTGCTCCAATGTGAACTCCGGTGCACTAGCCAGGTACACAGGAAAAGCCCTGGGAAATTTTGAAATTCATTTCCTGTTTGGTCAGCGTGGCGAGCTCAGCAGCACAGGTGACCACGGAGTCCCCCTAGAATCGCAAACAAGCTCCAGCATGGACCGAAAGGGGGACACTGAATCTGATTGCTGTATGGGGAGAAGAATCCGTGCAGACCAAACTCCGATCAAAAAGAAGAAATGAGATAGATTATATATATGCCAAAATTGCGCAGGGCATGGTGGAGAGAGGCTACAACAGGGACACACAGCAGTTCCGTGTGAAAGTTAAGAAGCTCAGGCAAGCCTACCAAAAGATAAGAGGCAAAAGGTCAATCTAGGTCAGAGTCCCATACATGCTGCTTCTATGATCAGCGGCATGGCATTCTAGGGGGGGACCCTACCACTACTCCACCACTGTCCATGGACACCTGCAAGGGGGGAGTCTCACGCAACAAGGAGGAGGATTTTGTGGATGAGGAAGAGGCGGGGAATGCGCAGCATGCAAGCAGTGAATCTGTTCTCCCTGTCAGCCAGACCTTTTCATCACCCTGGAGCCAATGCCCTCCCAAGGTGGGATCCCGGACCCCAGAGTAGGAGAAGGCAGCTCT